TTCTCTTTTTTATTCATTGCCAGAACAGGAATAGAATATTTCTTGTTCATATTTTTACGGGGTGGGGATCTAGGTTCGAAAGAGTTAACTCCCAATAAGTGAACAGATTTTGATTACTATCATTATATTTTATAGATCATAGATCCTCTGAAATTCCGACGTAAATTAATAATGTTCTGTTTATTACCTCGTCTTCACAACCTTATTTACATAAAATAATTTACAATATATTCTTAAATTAAAATATTGGCTTTGGAGTTTATTTATACCCTTTTTGTACAGATTACAATTTTTTCTGAATACAACGATTTCATTAACTATAACATTTCTTCAATAGGCATTATATCAAATTTAAACTTTTATGTAAGTTTTTATTTAGGATTTAAAGGAGTTTCACTTGTCCATCCATTTTACGATATTAAATATATGTCAAAACAGATTTGAAATATAATTTCGAATTAAAAGATTTTCCTTTTCGTAAAGGCAGAATTCCGTGATATTTTTATTAATTGCAATCTTTAATTTACTGTTTTGTTTTAAATATTTATAAAGAGAATTATTTTCAGCGCCTTTCATTTTTGAATGTCAGTATTCGTATACTTTTACTTTTTCTCGAACATCATTCTTTGACTAGAATTATATATCTATTTCTAACTGGATACAGGCCACTATACAGCTTACTCAATGAAACTTACAAGAGACGACCTTCGAAAAAAAAAAAACAACTTTCACACGATTGATATATAAGGTCGTACTCATAAGGACAATTTAGCAACATGTGGTTGCTAATTTATGTCTGGGGTTGCAACAAAGGTCTACGGTAATTTCGACGGAGGATTACACGGTCATTTCAGAGCAATTTTGGCATATGGTAACGATGGCGGTAGGTCTCTGACGTCTATTAAATAACAATTATTCATAGTGACGTACACTTTTACATTTTCTTTTTATATTTTAAAAAGGTTATTTTTCATATTCTACTCTAGTTTCCGCTTTCCGTAAATTTACTGCTATAAAAATTAACACAAATATTAATAAAAGATTTTGAGCTTAAAATTATTCTACTTACGCAAACTTAGTGAGTTCAATCCTTACTGTGTGCGCTCAATATTTATAAGTGTATACCTGGATTTATTAAACTCACAATATGCATGCTTGTATTATCACATAAATCATCGTCACTAACGAAACAACTGATATGTAGATATTCATATTGAAGGTCTTTTTCATTAGACTCAGATAATAAAAGAAAAAAAATTCTGCAGATCATAGAGAGACGTAGGATATGCGCGTAGGAGGTAGAATTGGTTAACTGAATTCAAATTCTGCACTAGTTTGCTGGGCTCGCGTTCACACAAATATCACTGGAAAAGTTATGACTCCATCTCTTTCCTACCAATTATGAGTTAAATAGTAGAATAGCTGGCTATCTAGCCTTGGATGGTAGCCATGCCTGAGGAAAGACAACTCTAAATTCCAAACCGTGAGGAAGGTAACGGGAAACCATTCCACTATCTTTTCTAAGAATACCTGGCAATCCACTGATAATAAAGAAAAGGAATCTGTGGAGAGCCATGATATCCTAGGTCTTAAAGCGCGAAGAGAGGCTTATAGATATCATCATTTAAAAACTCTAAAAGAAATCGATGTTAACCTCATCATAGTATTCCAAGTGATAGTTATACTTATCATGATTGTTGATAGTTAATAGAGGGCCAGTGTCTAAGAGGGAGTATTATCATCTTTGTTACTATTTAAGGAGGAAGAAATGTTATTGTTATTTAGATGCGTTGTTATAACTTTAAGGGCTTTACTAGCATTGTTACTATTTGTGAGGATGTATGTATTGTTATCATTGTTCATTCTAAGTGTGTGACCTCGTTATCATTACTATTATACACTAATATGATGGCTGCGTAACGATTTCGAACAATGCCATCTCATGATGAATCCTAAAATATGGCAGCTCGAATGTGGCTTTTTAATCCTAAAATTCTCTTGCTCAGATGTGACAATGTGTGGTGTCTTTTACTGTAGTTATTATATAAACGCCGCATAACATGTAATTCTATGTGTGTGGCATATTTTATGATTTCTGACGCCTGCCTTACATGGACAGACACGACCATATTAATTACACGTCAGATCAAATTTTGTAGCAACATTTTCAGGGAAATTAACATCAAGACCCTTACAAATACCTTAAGTTTTTCATACGCAACACGATTCTGCTCAGAGTCTTCCTTACAATTGTACACAATTTTCATTCAGGATGAACGATCTAGAGCAAATTTTTCCGTCATATTGCATGATGTAGATTTTCTTTTAGTGTGTTTTTGATGCAATCTTTATACCTTGATTTTCAGTTTGTGCCCTGGTATTTTTCTTCAGCTAATTCACCGTATAGAAACTGCTTAGGTTTCCTATCGTCCTTCATCCTGCTTACATGATCACCCCATCGCAATCTGTGCTGAAGTACCAGATACTCTATCCTGGTAGAGTTCGAGTATATCAACGTCACTCACGTACATCTGCCACCAGACACCGAATATACAGCGTAGACACTTAGTAAAATCGCTTCAGCCTTTTCATGTGTCTCCGGTAAGTAATTCAGATCGCACAGAGACACTGTTATCATCATTGTTACTCTTTAATATTGGGTATTGTTATCATCACTCCTATACAGGAAATGTTAATTTTATTTTTATAATCTAAGGTTTACATTCTGAAAGTAAGATATTACTATCAACATTGTTCGTATCTTAAAACTGCATTGTTACTTTATTTTTTATACCTAATAGAAGCTTGTTGTTACAGTCATTCAGTCTAAGAAAGGACTACTGTTATCATTATTACTTTCTATCATTGTTACTATTCATGAGAGGAAGCATTATTATCATTGTTATATTCTAGGTGCGTGTCATTATCAATATCACGTTGAATTCAGACAACTACTGTTCCCAATTGAATCACTGAAATGCATTCAAAATTAGCTAATCGGAAAAGGTTTCATCCTTAGTAGGACTGCTCTCTTTGTAAACCCAGCAGAAATCGGTATATATATCCTACTATACCCACAATACTCACCTGTCTTTGCACCTTCGGATTACCGCTTATTTTGATCCATGTAGTATTCCCTTAACGGAAAGAACTTCAATTCTATGAAAGCCTATAAAATTACACTAAAACAAGCGAAATTCTAGAAGGATGGAAACATGAAGCTGCCTTAAAGATAGAATGAAACAAAATAGCATATATGCGCTTAAATAAATCTATGCAGAAATATTTAAATATTAACATTACTTTAATTTTGTATCAGGTATAAGTATAATAGGTACTGCGGTGTGTAATGATTCTTAGTCCAACTGAGATTATTTGCTTGTTTTGCACTAATGTACATTAGGAAGGTACGAGTTGAACTCTTCAGACACACTTTCCTATCACCAGTTGTCTTAAAAAAGTTGTCCTATCACGAATATGCTACGACTGATATAGAAAAGTACAGTCAAGTCAAATGCTTTTATCCACACTAGCCGACAGACATACCTACGTATATATTTTATTCTTAACCAAATCAGATGATTAATTATATACAATAATGAAACTCGTTAATCTTTAATTTCTACCCAATTTAAGCATTTTATTAACTTTGCGAAACAGACTGACTGCAAAAAAGTAGACAAATGTCTATTAGCAAAAGAATTAGCTCAAGTGAGGAGCTATGTATCTCGGGTATCAAAACGGAGAGAAATTTAACTATCTGGATATTATAGCAATGGACAACAAAATATGACACAGAAATCCGAAGAAGCATAGGATTAGTGAAATATCTCTTTCTGAATTTAAGTGAAGTATCAAGACAGGAAAATGTCATTAGAAAGAAAAAATAGTGCTGAGCTGCTATGCAATATTTAATCTCCGATATAATTAATTCTTCGTAAATAGGAAAAAGTCTGTTTATATTTTATACTGACGAATGCTAAGAACACGATAGACAACTCATATGGGTGGTTAGGAAGTTTTAAGGAAAATAAAGACTATAAGGAAACTTATTCTTAGAATCAGAAAGTTGAAATTTATGAAATGCATAATGAGAAAAGAGGGTTTGCATAATTTAATACTCAAAGCATATAATGAAAGCAAGAAAAACAAAGAAAAAACAGCAAATAACCTACTTAATAGATTTGTGTGATTAGGTGGCAGAACAAGGACAATGAAAGAAGGTAAGTGGGTAATAGCTACTAGCAAAAACTACGATTGTGAAAAGCAATCATACACGTCGCCCATCCTGAAAGCATTTGGCATAAAAAGAATTCATTCATTAAATGATATTTGCCTAAAAATGATTATCGCGTAACTAAAACCTCATCAAATCTCAATATATTGTTAAAAATGGAATAATTTTAATTGGTTTAATTTAGTAAGAAACCCAATAGTAGTTAAATGGAGGAGCTCCGCGTTCAAGTTATTTTTGTTGTTCATTTGGATAAACTTACAGTACACTTCCTCAAAAATCGACGGAATAGATGGGATCTTGTTGATGGATATGATAATGAATTCAACTTGACCATCTCTATTCTAGCCATAACTTCACATTTCGAGGAAAGAATAAAATCACAGATCTAAAACTATATTAATTTTATTGGAATGGCTCGTAATTTTAATAGGATCGTTTGTCTTCATTTAAACTACTTGCAAAGAATTTAACTGGGTGTGACAGGTTGGAAACAGTTTAAAATGGTAGCATTCGGGATCATCTGTTCTGGATGGGAGGGAATGCAAACACCCGGCTATCTACCCAGTTTTTTTTTTTTAACATCTTCCCCGAATCGCCCGCATCTTTAATTACCTTGTGGTGTGGCCATGTCATTCAATGACTCTTCCGTTCTACACAAAATCTAAAGTAAAATAAACAAATAAACAAACACAAGTGAGAGGCGAGGGGCACCGTGTCGGATGGAGTTGTGTGGGGAGTTATTCCGCTGTCCTGAAAATTAACTTCACGGATCATGGGAAATGTTAACGAAAAGAAAGAAAGAAAGAAAGAAAGAAAGAAAGAAAGAAAGAAAGAAAGAAAGAAAGAAAGCAAGAAATGCAAGTGATACAAAAGGCGATAGCATATGAACGCTAGCATGAATTAGTAAACACTTTTGGACAAAATGATTATTTTGACGAATAGAAAGAAAGAAAGAAAAAAAGAAAGAAAGAAAGTAATGTGACAGTGAAAAAATAAATAAGAAGAATGTCAAAACAACAATAAAAAGATGAATTCCCGTAGCAGTAAAAATAATAACTACAGCAAAAATGTCGTGAATAACAAAAAAAAAAAATCAAGAGAAATAAAGAACAGCAATATAATTGCAATAATAATAACAGCAGTAAAAAGAACAATTAAAACAACTATAATAATGATAATAACAATACTGCCAATGGTGATGATTTTAATGTTGATAATATTGACGCTGAATACAGCAAAAACAGCGACAATGATAATAATTTTACGGACTCAAAGGAATAACGAAACACCACAAATATAAATATGAAGTAAAAGGCAAATGGCAAGACAAATCTCAGTACAAAAGTTAATAACAAAATAGAAAGTAAAACGACAAAGATAAGACACTGAAGGAAGGTGTGTGAATATTTAATTAATAAAGTTATAGACACACAAAGGTTTATGCAGACATGCATAAAACCAACTGAGGGGTTATCCTATTTAATCCTCTGTTATTTCTGTTATATTTGTAATGTGTATAATATATCTGGTGAGGTTATATGGTTATGTATATATGTGTTTGTCTTGACAAAGTGAATTTGATATTTGAAATGTTGCAACAACAAGAAAAATGAAAATCTGAGTCCGAATGTAAATAACGTAGATAACGCTCCCAATTTTTCGTTTTCATTGAGCTTAAAAGTATAACATTTGATTTAAAATTTGCTAAATTGCTAGATAAATAGATATATACACAATATTATGGAATAGTAGCAAATTATGCAGATTTTTCAAACCTTATAAAAGACGGTTGAAAGCATTAAATTGAATTGAAAAAACATGAAATTATGCAAATTTATCATTTTTTTTATGTAATTAAATTCAAATTATTTATAAGATGTATTATGCAGATTTAGTCAACAATTAGCCTTCTCCGGTGTATTGTCTATCTCTAATGCTCCAGTGTATCTTGCAAAACGTCCATCGAAATATTTTCATTAATATTCTGTGTTTTTTGTGATCCTCGTGCAAGTTTTTTTTTTCTTTTTATTAGCAAATGATCATTTGAAGATAATGAAGATGACATTAAATAATTCACTTGAGAAAGATTTTGACTACACTGAAACGAAGCGAAATATTTTTATTAAAGTTATCTTCAATTGATAAAAGGTTACAAAAATGTAAAAAGATTTCGTTACCTATAAAAAAGAATTATTCACTATTTACGGTTAATTTGTTTAACCAATGCACTGACTGTCGTTTGTGTTAGGTAGCAATAATTGCAAGTAAAATTTGGCACAAAAATTAATAAGCAAGTAATCGTTTTAATTTCTTTGAATATCGGGGATTTATAAAAGGACTATCAGTTATTGTCCCATGTTCTGTGTTACCGATGTTCAGTACTGGAAATATCATTAAAAAGGGAAACTAGAGTTCAAGGAATTTGCGCGAGAACTCTTGAGAATTAACTCAAACACGCAATATATCGACAGTAATTTAGAGAAATTCAATATCTTATATGCCATGAGTGGTTCTGAAACAAAGACCATTTCCAGACGCTTTATTAACGATATATGAGAGACAGACAGACAGACAGATATATATCTATATATCTATAGATAGATAGATAGATAGATAGATAGATAGATAGATAGATAGATAGATAGATAGATAGATTGAGGGACACACAGATAAATAAATAAATAGAAAGATAGAAACAGATATCTAGAGACAGACAGACAGATAGAGATACATACATAACAGACAGAAAAAAATAAGAAAGAAGGAAGACGCAGATAGATAGATAGATAGATAGATAGATAGATAGATAGATAGATATACAGACACGGATATATAGAGAGACAGCGATAGAGTTAAATAGAGAGAGAGAGTTAGACAGACATAAAGATAGACAGACACAGATAAATACAGAAAGAGATAGATAGATAGATAGATAGATAGATAGATAGATAGATAGATAGATAGATAGATAGACTTAGACACTGAAAATCCACCTGTAACTCTTTTTTCATTATCTCTTAAATCATGACTTTAAAGGACACAACCAGTTTGGCTGGCCAGTGGATGTACGAGGCTGTCCTCCTTCACTCTTTACCACATACTGCCACCGTTTCTTTGCGTCGTGGTAACAGATTGCTAGTTTTGTTTTTTGTTTAAAAAAACAAAACAAAACAAAACTTCTTCCGTTTACATATTTAAATTTATGGCAGTGCTTACCTTTCCGAAGGACAAGGAGCCAAAAGACATTTTTAGAACCGTCTGAAATAACATGCGAGAATGACGTATAATCTTCTCTGACGCTTTTTCTATAATTGAAAGTAATAATGGATAGAAATGCTCTAAATTCCGAAAAATAAACACTAATCTATCTATTATTATTTCCCTCAACCACCACCAACTGCACTCGTTCTTAAGGATATTTAGAAGAAAAAAAATACTGCATATATTAATCTGTCACAAATCCTCGAATGTGATGTCTTTCTTTTAATACCCATTTCATTATGTGGACATAACTTCCGGTTATACAAACGCAATCTTTAAAAGGTTTTTAAATAAGATTTTGGGAAAAATGACCATAGAAATGACCTTAATCTTTAGATTCTGCAACCCTGAAGTAATTACCTTGCCTATTTGCAAACACAGGCTTACATATGAATTGTTCTTCTCATAGGCGATCATGGCTCTCCAAAATTTTCTATCCCTTGTGGCCCTCTTCAGTTTCTCTTTTTGCTAAGACTCCCGACCCCCTTTCTGCAGTTCATTTACACAAGCACGCCAGGTAAGTGATTTGCTGCCTTCCTCTATCTCTCTTGCCCTCAATACGCCTTGTGAAGGTTAAGTTTTCCAAGCACACCTTCCTTTATGTATTCATGGAATTTCAGACGTCTTTTGCTGATTGTGAAGATGTTTTTTCTGTGGCCATTTTCTTTAAGACTTCATTATTATTTATTCTATCTGCGTATAGAATTTTCAATAATCTTCTGTAGAACCACATTTCTGTGTTCTCCTCATCCCTGGGGAGATTTACTAGCATTCACTGCCATATAAGAGGATGGATACCACACTGCAATCCAGCACTCTTTTCATTGTTTCTAACGATTTTTTCTCTTCTCGGTAGCTTTTGGAATACTTCTTTCGATAGTTTAATGCTTGGTCGGATCTCGGTGTAGCATTGTCCATCCTTAGTTAAAATACTTCCCAGATATTTAAACTTCTGCATCTGTATATATTGGCATCTCCAATTTAGAACTCTTAGAATTTTTCTCTTACTGATGATGATATCTTCTGTCTTCGTGCTGTTGATGGTTAGTTCAGCCGTCAACAAAGTGTCATCTATGTATCTTATATGTTTATGATTATGCTCACAGATAATAAATCCTGGTAGTGTCTACAATTCTCGTAGGACAGGGTCGATGTAAAGGCTGAATAAATCTGGGGAAATGACCCATACTTGTCTCACGCTCTTTTACATTTTTATGTAGCCACTCAATTAATAACCTATCCAAATGCTGGCTTTTTGCTCCTAGTGTTCTGGATTCTTCTAACATCTAGTTTTCCGAGCAGTTCAAATAGTTCCTTGTGACATATCGTGTCAATTGCTCTATAAAGCATAAGTGCACATCTTTCTACATTTGTATTTTGTTTTCCGATTTCATTCTGAGCATATATATCGCATTCCTTATTCCAGTATTATTGACATAGCAGCACTGTTCTTGTCCTATTTCCGGTCCAATTCTTCTTCGCGTTCACATTCATTTGCACCTGGCTTCTTAGTTAATGTTATGAAGATGGATTTAGGCTGATATATCATTTCTGTTACGTTCCATTTTCTTCAAGCAAATTATTCAAACTTACGGAACTATATATATATATATATATATATATATATATATATATATATATATATATATATATATAATACAATTTAGTTTTAAAGTATGCTTATTTATGGATTAAAAGTGCTCAATATCAGGAATAGATCATATGTAAATATAAAAGTGGAAAATTCTGTCAAGCTTATTTGCAATCTTTGCGTGTTGTGTTTTCGTTTGACTGTTTATATATACTGCTCAGTGGTAGATTATTGGCAAAAGGTATACTGTTTTATCCTAACTATTATTGGGTAGGTTATGTTTCAAATTATTTCTAATTAGTCTGCTGAGTAAAAGTAATTGTGAATCTGACTGTAGTTATTTCTAACTATTTTTAGCATTTTTTGTTAACCTTTTTACTCATTATTTATTATTGATTACTTTATTATTTGTTGTTGGTTATTATTATATTTACTTGTGTTCATGCGTGTATTCATAGTCTTTTTTATTTGTTTATTATTTACTTAATTGGTTTACATACTATTTTTAATGCTTTATTTTATTCTAATTTGTTAGTTTATATTAATAAAAAAAAGAAAACAAATCCCACCAAACAAATCGTGGAAAATAAGGAAAACAGCATCAGTCTACAACAAGAAATCCAAAATTTCAAACTCCGCTTGGAGGAATCAAATAGCCATAATTAACTTCCCAGACCAACAAAAACTACTAAATAAACGATCAGAACTCATTTCAAAATGCATATATATATATATATATATACATACATATATATATATATATATATATATATATATGCAAAAAAGATCCCTAAGTTTTACAATGCAAAAATCGACCCCTAAGTTTTAAAAAGCATTTTAAAATAAAAATCATTCTTGAAACTTTTATTTTAGTTTTAATTCTAAACTAATAGATTAAATTTGATATTTCCCATAAGCAAAGTACGATGCTCTATTTCAAAACGAATCTAAAATAATTGAAATTTTTTTTCTCGATAAAATCTTCCACATTGACAAATAGGTCAATGCAACATAATTCCCTTTATTAACAAATTTTTCAAAAATAAAATATAGTTTTTTGAAATTTTATTTGTGAAAAATTAACTGGTTTAAAGTTTACTCATTCTGAATTGAAACAAATATTTCTTACTTGTATTTTAAAATATCGCAGAAAAGCATTTTTATCACGGAGATAGGTGTTTGATATATTGACATATTTATCGATAGTCTGATGTTTGTGAAATTTATTTAAGGAGGAGATAATAGCAATAAATTACGTGACTAATACAAAGTAAACGTCTTCTTTACGTATTTTTTAATTCCTCTGTTAATCATTCTAATATATTATCGAATATTATATAGAATTCCTTTATACTCACGAAGACGCTTGTTGAGGAAATGTTAGAAAACTACCACTAAATCTTAAATTTACTATAGCAACTGCTCCTATCTTCTGATAATATCGTGTCAGGATGCCCGTATTTATAAAAATCTGTGTTTTTACATGCACCAAAAACTTCAAAATTCTTTTTAAAATACTGGAGGATCGCTAAATTGTTGTAGGCTTTTCTATTAATGATTAGTAAGTACAATTTTTATTTAATAATAATATCACTTGACTGTTACAAATTAATACAGAATTTTGAAAAAATTAAAACTTTATAAATTATTCAAATTAAAAATTTTAAATATGGAAACAATTCCTGCAAAAATGAATCATTGATCGAAATATCTTTTTTCTTTAAGACAATAGTGTTCATAATATATTTTTATCATTATCAAGCGCGGTGAAAAAGAATTTTCATAAAATTAAATAAATTGGGGCACAAATATAAAAAAAATATAAATAAATATTTTTACCAAGATTTTCTAAAAAATAAACATTCAAAGATAATTTAATTAATTTATGAATAAGTTTTGAAATTTTCATTAAAATCTGAGAATTATTTGATTTTTGTAAGAATTTCCAAAGCAAAAATGCACTAAAATTTTACATGCAAATTTATGATCCGACATTGAGGTTAGAAAAACAAGTTTTAACTAAAAGTCCGAAGGTTGTAAACAGGATTGAAAAAATAATTGTTACATTAAAAAATCCTTTGATCTTTCCTTTCAATAATAACACATAGATTTTTACGAAAGTTTGAAAGCATCATTTAGTTAATCTGTGAATATATATATGTGTGTGTGTGTGAGTGTGTGTGTGTGTGTGTGCGTGTGTATGTGTGTTCAAAAAATAGATAAAAATATAGATAGGTATAAAAGATTCTGGGCATAGAAATCAACACTATATTGAGGCAGTCATTTCCATACCTTAAGTAATCTTCGGAATTTTCTATCTTAAAATGCTCTGTCTCCGAATGTGAGCATTCCTTACCTAAAAATATAGCTGTGTGTGTGTGTGTGTGTGTGTGTGTGTGTGTGTGTGTGTGTGTGTGTAAATATAAATATTACCTTATGTGATCCCATTATAAACTTCAGCAATTTACTCAAAAAGGATCTCAAAATTGCAATGCGTTTCTTATTTCTTCTTCGAAATAATTATTGTCGACAAGAATATAACTCTTTCATAGTTTTGTCAAGATGATGCACAAATTCTTTAATACGAAGTGCTTGATTATCCAAGGCTTGGTCAAGAATCCAATTAAAATGTAGTTATTTGGTCAGATTTTGAAAAGCGGCCTGAGCTGGGAACTTTTCATCACCAACTACAATATATCCGTTTCGTCTCCATTGTTAAAATTCTCTCGAACTTTGTGTAGCAGGTAATATTAAATGTAAACAAAATGTTGTTTTTTATATATCTATTAATTTTATTTTTCTTGTTTTAAGCCGAAACCGTTTTTTCTTGAGATATCATTAGACTCATAATGTGAGTTTTGAATGTCTCCTGATAAACACTTTTTAGTATCTAAATAGGGCAATGACCTACCTAAGGTTTGACATATTTTTCTTCATGCAATCTGTTTTTAATTGTTATAGATGTGAAGCACTATGGTGATTGCTAACCCATTTATATAAATTCTTAGTTAAATACCCGGGTCAAGGCTGACAGGGTGATCTTGCTCTGCTGGATGTAGGAAAGAGGAAAAACTGAAAACAAGAAACTTGAGAGCATCACAAGCCAGTTTGTATCAGTGAA